GAGTTGATAGAATATTCACTCTTCTCTGTGAGATGTCCAAGCTTTTTTGTCAGTTCTTTCACTTTGTTGTATGTTGGAGTCCCTGGTAAGGATACAACTGGTTGGAGAGGTATGTCAGGCTTGTGTGTTTTTGGTCATCCATAGAAATGTGGGAGGATGGGTCCACTGGTTTTCATCTGCCCTTCTTCTTCTTTTGTGATCTGGCCTTTCTTGGTTAGGTTGTTAAGGGTTCTCTTGATTAGGTTGTTTAGTTTCTGTATTGGGTTGGTGTTAACTGGGATGTAGGTTTTTTTGTCCTCTAATAACTTTTTGGCTTTTTGCAAGTATTGTGATTTATCCGTAATAACTGTGGTTTGGCCTTTGTCTGCTGGGAGGATGATGATGGTTGGTCCTTCCTTGGGCTATTGAGGGCTGCTCTGTCCTCTACTTTGAGTTGGTGTTTTATTGGGTCTTTGTGTTAAGTCCTGTAGAACTAGAACTAGAAAAATAGTTGTTCCTTGGTGGAGGCTTGCCTGCATGCAAATTTCTCCGATCTGCGTGCTTTCTGAAGTGTTTGACGCCCATATGTGGTACCAAGAGGTACCACATATGAGGTTAAAGTTATTTTTAGTATGTCAAAACTGCTTTGTGTGTGTGTGTATGTGTGAATATATATATACGTATATATATTTCCTGCCATGATAAATTCACACATTAGATGCCCACAACCTATTTTAAAACTTTCTTTGTTCCATTGCTGTTCCATTTCTTATCTGCAAAAGGAACCAGAACTGAAGTTTAGCGAAGTCACTTTCTTGGATCAGTATAGGAACCGTGTTGCCATAGTTAGAAGGAGCACATTTGAGGCCCAGCAAAGTTCAGGATAGCAGTTATTAAAAGAAGGGAGCAAAAATCTGTACATCACCTCATTAGCATATAGACCCTTTCCTTCTTTTTCAATTCTTGTTACCTTTTAACATTTTTATGATCTGATATATGATTCCAATTTAATTTAATTTAGATTGATTTCAGTTCTTCAGTAATAGTAACTGCGTTCAGGGACCTTCTGACTTCCTTAGCTATTGTGTAGTATGTTTTCTTACCAACAGAAAGTTCACTTTCATACACGCACACACGCACGCACACACACATATTCCGTTTACATGTATATAATATGTGTGTTTGTACACACACACACAACCCCAGACAGATAACATACTTCTCAAAACATATAAACATCATGGCTATATATTAACTTATATTTTACTCCTGCTTTCTGGACACACACAATTATGTTCATATGTTTCACAATATACCAGCTCTAATGTAATATTTTCCATTGTACTTTTAAAACGCCAGTGTATTCTTTGAGGCTGAACTAAGATGGTATCATTATCTGTTGATGGAAACATTATTTAAAAGCTCCTATATCTAGTGTAGCTAAGCTACTCTGATCTCAGAGATATTACGTTTTGAATAGCAACGTATGAGATTAAGCTCTCAAGCAACTAATGCAATACTGGAATGAGATTTATTTGAACTTCTTAGTGAATATGTATGTTAATTTCAAGGCTAAATATTAAGCATTTCAGGTAATGTTTCTATTATTCTCTTATGTACCCAAATCTAAAGATGATTTTATTCAACACTATTCTACCTACTTCCATTCAGATAAATTTAAGGGGGGAAAAAAAGATTACTGGTAATACTTTTTTAAAGTATCCATAGATACTCACAGATAAGCCCATCCGGGGATAAGCTGACTCTCAAATTTTTAACCAAAATACCATGAAAAATGCACCACCCATGGATAAGACAAGTGTGAAAATTAAAACATACGGAAATTTCAAGGGTCAGTTTATCTTCCAGTGGTGTGTTTTTCATGGTATTTGGTTAAAAATTTGAGGGTTGTCTTATCCACTGATAGGCATATCCATGAGTATATACAGTAAATACCAGATTACAAGCCCATTGTATTATTTTTAGAAATATCCTGTAATGACTCAGTGATTCCCCACACACCAAAGAATAAAAGATACAGATGTCATTTTCCAACATTTTGCCCAAATAAAGCTTGGGTGCTTAATTCAGCTCTTTGAGGTTTTTTGGGAAAGACAGTGTGACGTCTGAAATCTGTTTAAAACGTTAGGTCCTTTTGAATCTGAAAACCATAATCCAGTGTTTCTCAACCTTGGCCACTTGAAGATGTGTGGACTTCAACTCACAGAATTCCCCAGCCAGCATGCTGGCTGGGGAATTCTGGGAATTGAAGTCCACACATCTTACTCACAGAATTCCCCAGCCAGCATGCTGGCTGGGGAATTCTGTGAGTTAGATGTGTGGACTTCAACTCACAGAATCCCCCAGCCAGCATGCTGGCTGGGGAATTCTGTGAGTTAGATGTGTGGACTTCAACTCACAGAATCCCCCAGCCAGCATGCTGGCTGGGGAATTCTGGGAATTGAAGTCCACACATCTTTAAGTAGCCAAGGTTGAGAAACACTGCCATAGTTTGCCTGATGCAGGGTTAAAGTGCCGTGCTGGGTCCAGGGCAGCTTCAAGTCCACTCTCAGGCATGAAAAGTTACTGGATCACTTCATACTGTCGTTCTTTCTCAGCCCAAGTGATCTCCAAGGGTTGTGGTGTGGAAAAATTGGAGCAGGCAGTACAACATATGCCACTTTGAACTCTTGCTGATAAGGTGGGATAGAAATCTAACAATTTTTAAAAGGAAATGCTAACTGATTATTGCACACCAAGAAGGATGGAGCTGGGCACTGGCAGAAGCTTTGTTTTTTAATTTCAGTTTATTAAGCTGTGATGTGATGGTTTAAATTGAGGTCCTGTGCCTGAATTTTGTCTGCTGTCATTACATAATTTTCATCATCTCAGTTTCCTAATCTTCATCTTCTTGAAGGAAGCATGAAATAAACACAACTGAAGAAACTATTGATTCAGCACTATTGTTTGTCAGCCGCATACATGCTATGGACAGACAAATGGGGTACTATTGTTTTGCCAGTGGCAGGCAAACATAAAGCCATTCCTTCATTTTCCCAGGCAAAAATGGGCACAGCCCTTTAGTTGTTTGTTATTACCTATGTAAATAAATGGTTTTTTAAAGGGGAATATGGTTATTTATTGGATATATTTATTGATTTTTCTCCAAGTTTTTAGACTGTGGAGAATGGCAAAACACATGTTCTCTTCAATTAACTTAATATGTTTAGATCAGGTTAATTGTGTTTTACTAAAGCGCTTGATTACTGAAAAATGACAGATGTATTCACACTCATTTTGTTTTATTTTTCCCTAGTTACAATTACCTCAGCTGGAGAAAAAGGTATGATACTTTCTTTGTAAAACATTTTATTTCTGTACATATGTAGTCATATTTGAGTGTAATCTTGCAAAATTACATTGATTGCTTGAGTTTTGGAAAGAAAAAAAATGTAATTCCAGCATCAGGCCTCTCAGTGGTATCACTGTGATGGCAGCCTTCAGCTGCTGAAAAAGTGGGTTCTTGGCAACAGAAAGATTTCTGACACTTGCCTAAAATATAAAATCACTCAGTTTCTGAAGCAACAGAAGCAGCATAAGCTTACAGTTCATCAAATCAAGGATCCACAAGAATTGCTGGGCTAAATAAGCAAAAATAATTTATTCTAGCCAGAAAATATCTCTAAAAATATGCAGAGTATTTTGCATTTTCCATCCAATAAATTGTAGTGTGCCCTCCAACCTACATTAAGTAGCTTATAGCACAAATTGCAGTTTTCCAAATGTCTGAATTTGTTGCATGTCTCTTTCTATAAACTAAATATTGCCGCAACTTCCCTTGCGAGCATCAGGTCAGCAGTTGTTTATATTAAAATACAGACTTCAAAGACAAAGTCTTTCCTTCCAAAAATTCCACTCCAGAATGTTCTTCTTTCCCGGCAAAGCCTCCCCCTCTTAAACAGCCTCTAAAGAGCAAAACAGTGGAAGTTGGATTCTTTGTTCTTTCTCCTTTCAATGGAAACTGATAGGGAAAAGCCAGTTGCAGATGATGTTGGAAAATGGGAAAAGGCTACAGAGAGAAGGAAAAGATGCTAAGTTAAAGAAGAACAGAAAATTAGATCTGACATCTCTAATCTTGTAAGTTTATCTTTTAAAAAGCTTTAAACATTTAGAGCAAGAGAAGCTAAAAATGCCAAGCAGTAGAGAAAGATTGAGTCAGTCCCCACCTTAGCCCACCAGTTTTCTAGTGTTCCAAGGAGGGAAGAATGAATAAACCTTCACTGATATCATTCAGCACTAGAAAACAGACTTTCCCAAAAATATACTTCAGATTTTTCTGGCCATGGATATAGCTGTTACAATGCAAACTTGTTCTTACCCTAAAGTTTAAAAAGTTGAGTCCTCAACTTGTTGGCAGGTAAGTTTCTCAAAGGGTACCTAGAAAAGAAATCCTTATTTAATCGTTCCTAATAGGAAGATGCATAGACTACCCAATTGCTATGAAAGATAGTCTGAGTTGACAATCACAGAATCTGGAATAAAACTTAGAAAAGTGGATCTCCTTACTCCCATATTCTGTCATTGAGAAAATCATAAAAAAATTGTAAATCCAAATTTCATGCAATAGTCTACATATATTATAGAACTCAAATGCAGCAAATTAAACTTTTTCCAGTTAGTAGTCTAACAGGAGTATAAAGCATATTGCTGTACAACTTCAATAATGTTATTACATAATTATCCAAAACGGCCATTATATCATTGGCATATAAAAACAATTTATATTCACTATCAAGTGCCACCACATATGTAATATTTTAAGACTGTCTAATGAAAGAAGCTAAAGTTTCAAGAACTAAATTAAGGATTAAAGGAGACAAGGGCTTCCTTGGGGTGCCACGATATTGCTTGGTGGGTCAAGAAAAAATCCATTTGTAATTACTCTAGCCACAGGGTTGAGAAACCAAATTGTAATCTAGTGAAGAAAATATTATGGAAATCCATGTTTTCTTATTACATACTTCCTAAATTCAGTCTGAACTGGATTAAAAGTCATTTCAGTGTCCAACAAGGTTAGAAAAGCCTGTTCTAATTTATCTGCCATGATGTCCAAAATATCAATTGCCAAACAGATATTATCAAATGTCTGTGTACTTTTTATAAATACAGATTGAGATGGGTGAATTATCAACAATCTTTTCTATAGTCTCATGGCTAGTGTTACAATTAATATTTTAGCATCCATGTTAAATAACAGTGTATAACTTGTATTTGTGGTGGGGTCTTTTTCAGGCTTTTTAATATTTCTATAATATAGGCCTCATAAAACAGTGGAGGTAATATAGAAAGATTAATTGATTGTGAATCTCTAACAATATAGATGCCGATACATCTATAAAAGTTCTATATTGTTCAACTGGAAATCCATCAGTTTCAGGACTTTCCCCAATTTCATTGATTGAATTGTCTCTATAACTTATTGTAACGTCAATGGTTGTGCCATTTTTTAAATTTTCCTGTGAGATCTCTCCCATTTCAATATTTTACAAGAAATTAATAATTTGTGGCTCAGTTACTGATGTCTCCGGTTTATATATCTGAGTATAAAAATAATGAAACTGGTAGTTGATAGATTCAATCTCAGTACATAACTGATCATTATTGGCATTGAATTCCAGATATAAAATGCTGTTGTTTCAATCAGTGAGACAATAACTTTTCAGCTTTCTCTCCTGATTCCCAATAGATCTGATTAAAATATTTCATAGAATATTCATATTGTTCTGAAAATGGTAGCCCCAATTTAATCTTAGCTGCTATAAGTATTTGATACAATTCATCTGTGGGATTTTTGTCTTGTAGAAGTGAGTCTTTAATCATCTTTTCCAGCTATATAAGATTAAAATCTCAAAGTCTCTTTTTTGCTGAGGCAGTAGCAATAATGGATCTCTGAGTAAATGCCTTAAACACATCCTAAAGGATTAACATACTGGTAAAGCCCCTATTTATTTCAAAAAAAGATCTTGATCTATTCCAAAATAGGATGTCTTAGGAGAAATACTTAGATGCTGTCTTGAATTAGAATGGTATATACCGGCCATCTTTCCTAAGCCCTCAGAGCAGAAAGATACAGCTGTTATGTCATGCTTCCATGTACCAGGCTTCACATGACTTCCAGCCCATCCCCGGGAGGGAATTTCTCTATTTTTACACAGTGTATCCTATGTGGTGTTTTCAGTTATACTGACCACCAGGAGGCACCACGTGACCAGTTTCGTCCTTCATTGAGCCTCTTCAGATGCGGGTAGCTAGAAGTTATTCTATGCAGTTCAAACCCTACTAGGAATTGAACTCATGGACCTTCACACTTCAAATGACTATACACAGCGCATTAATTTTAGGAGCTATTCAGGTCCTGGCTAATTTATAGTTTTTAAACTTCATTCTGAGAGTCACTGGACCATGAGCTGAGATTGCAGTCTGGTCTATTTAGAAATTGGCAGTTTGATCCACCAGAACAGGATAATTTAAAAAAATAATGTAATCTAAAATAGTTTTGATGTTCATGAGAAAAGAAGTATATTCTGTATGCTGTAGATTTTAAAAATGTCAAATACCTGTTAACAAATTTCAATATATATGCTTGCAATACTTTCCAATTTTGAAAAGAGGTAAAGTTTTTTTAAAGTGTTTCTATCTAGCTGAGAATCTTGGATTAAGTTAAAATCACCAGCAGAAAGTATATGTTGCTAGCGTGCAGACTATAATTCATGAAAACTTCTATGAAATATTTCAGCAGTGTTCTTGATAGGGCCATAAAAGTTAATCAGAGCAATAAAAGTATCAGCTATCTTTATTACCAAGAAAACAAAGTATTCATATGCTCTCATTCCAGATCAGTTTTAGATTTTATATTAAA